ACATGCATTACATGAGCATACTGTCATCCTATTGGTGGATAGGTGACACATGATGATTTGCATAAGAGACATGTTGGAATCATTTGATTCCAATAGGGGGATGCGGAAGACCTGTGGCATGCGTAATAAAAAAGTTTGCATATAGAGGGCAGCCATAAACAAGAATAACTAATTTTGTGAGTGGAGGGAAGTACCTATTAGTAATACATTTTTGGTATAGGATAATTATAATTACCGTATGTAACTAAATTTATTGCTTAACCCTTTGATTGGAGTGGGAGCTTGACTTTACTATATTGTTACCTTTTGGCAATTTTTCACTACAGTTCCATGGCTTCTTTGGGTTTTATCAGAGGACTTGTCCATTGTCTCTAGCACACTTTTCTTTCCCCATGACCTTAGAACCTGCCAGCTGCATGTGTCTGTCTGAGGAGGTACAAAATTTTGTGTCTGTGCAGGCCATTGCACCTGTTCATCATCTTTCTCCAGGCTACTTGTTTTCCTTGCCAAACCAGAGACTGGCAGCCTTTATTAGGTTTTCCTGGCTCATTCTAATTTTCAGTCTGCCCTGTTTTACCTTGGAGTCATTTCCCACCCTTAGGTGGGCTTTTTCTCCAGGTGTATCATCAACAACCTCGATGACCAAGAGGAATGTCACAAATGATTATTTGCATATCCTAATATTTTTTACTCATGACCAGCTATTAAATTTTTTCTCCATGGGGTGATTTCTCTGTTTTGGGCACTACCCTTTGGACTTGCTTCAGCCCTGTATGTTTTTTGGCTGTTCAGAGCATTCATTTGTCACTTATATGCTTTCAGGTTGCACTTTCCTCTTTCTTTGGTCAACTGGCTACTGTTTGCTCATTCCGAACAGGAGTCGCCTGTTACCCTTATCAGCTGCTCCTGGAGGTGGCTATAATGGGCTGTTAATTAAGTTGGAGAAGTCCTTACTGCGACCTATCCAATACCTTGTCCATTTGGGTGTTTTCTTTTTGTCTCTCATCCCATTCTTCTTCTCTAGGTGATATTGTCCATCTTTGACACTCCATGTTCAGTCCTTCTAATAGCTCTTTCCTGGCCATCTCAGCTGTGGTTTCCCTGGCTTCTCCAGCTTCAACTTCCTTCTCTGTTACCTATTTCTCTGTCTCCATACCTTCTTCACCACCCTCAGTCTCCAGTGTTTAATCCAAACCTTCCTGTCCTCCATTTTCACGCTCGTTTTTTCCTCTGGTCATTGGCGAGGTGATCCAGCTTCTTCTTAGAGTTAGCCTTTTTTTCTGGCTTGTTTCATTCACTCTTCCTACATGGAAGTTTCTCAATGAAAATGGAATTTTTCTGTTGTTGGTTTCTGGGTTCAGGCTTTTCCCCTGATCAACTCTCTGTTCTTAGTCATGCTGATTTCCTCTCTTGACTTTTGGATTGGGAGTCTTTTGATGTGGTATCCTCCAATATGACACATAAAAATAAATAGAAATGAGACATCAAAATTGCAGTTCACTTCTTCATTTGGGATCCCTCATCCTACCCCCCAGGTGAATGCTGGTTCCCAGTGGCTGGGTTTTGGATTTAGAGTAGAACCAATCAATGTAAGTCCTCACACATGTATTACAAATGTCTATATTCCTCCCTCATTTATACTCCATCAGTGTTGTGGGTCCTGGTGGAAGTAATTGCAGATTGTTATGATTCTTTTCCTTCTGCTAACCCTCGATGTTTCTTATTCCGGTCAATTTCACTTTTGAGGAAGATTGTTTACATTATGTAGACATATTTTTGATACCAGATGTTGAGGTTCCAGATCAATCTATCAATTTATCATATTCACATGTGCCCCCAATCATGAGTCGGTTTTAACTAGCTTCCCTCCGGTCTCACACACTTGACGTGAAGATGGTATGATCCTCTTTCTTATTCCTGCCAGAAAGCTGGGTTTTGGATTGTAGTTGACTTGCCATGTACGGTCTGTTGCACCCTAGCCACTCTGCACCTAAGGTCGTATCCTTTTCATTTTACCCACTTTTATCATTTCTAGGATTGAGTTTCATAAATATTGCATGATTAGAATCACTTTCTGGCCATAGTTCTCTCCCAAATGAATGTGCTTCTCAGTTTTCTGCCCATATATGAACATCTTTCTACAATGGGCTAAGAATATACCTGGTTCAGAATTGGTGCGGTTCCTCACATCAGATCTTAGAATCTGACTGTCTCATCTTAGGGAGTGTCCTTTGGATGCTTTTAAAGGATGCTTCTTATTTTCCCTCGCACTGGTCCCTCCACCTATTCAATGTGGGATTCTAGGTATTTATGTGAGAGGAGGTAATCTACCGTGTCAGAAGTTATAATTTTCCTACACTGAAAATGTATTTCCAATAGGTACTTACCTCCTCCTTTCCCACTGGAAACTGGTGCTTCCATCTTCTGCCAAAACTCGAAGTGATAGTTTGGTAGAATTGAATAGAGGGAGCCACATGAGAGTATGTTGCACCCTTATTGATGGAGGGTTGATGCATGATGATTTGCATGAGAGATGCATTAAAATCAGTCAATTCCAATATAGAATGGAGATAGAAGGCTTGTGGCATGCGTAAAAGTTATTTTGCATATAGACGGCAGCACCGAACAAGAATAGCTATTTATATGATATGAGGTAAGTACCTATCGGAAATACATTTTCAGTGTAGGAAAATAATAACTTTATCTTTTTCAAAGAACTTTATACTCCATACAGTTAAAGGAAACCATTAGTTATAATTTTCTTTGATATGGAAACATGTACATGTGTGCTCAATTGTTTTATATAAGAACAAAAAGTAAACTTCTTCATTCGTTCTATTCTATTATAGTTATATTGATATAAAGTGATAGACAAGTATACAGTATATCCATATGGGTGCCTTTATGGGCTGATACCCAGGTCAAGCCAAAAGTTTTTTTTCTGTTCTCATCCCTGAAGATAAATTTATTGTTAAACATTTTGAATTATACTTGATGTCATAACTATATTTTTGTATGTTTTATGTGTTAATATATATATATATATATATATATATATATATATTATTGTAGGAAGAGAAGAATAACAAACACAATACTACTTATCGTGTAGTACTTCTTTACAATATCGCCTCGAGTCGAGACTCCGTAGGGTAGGGACAAGTAATT